ATCCTCTCTAATCACTTGAAATTGTCACTGATTCGGAGTAGTGACCCGCGTTAGGACCATTCTCTTATTTTTGAGAAAGCACTTCACCACATCATCGCCGGGAAACGGCAACTCCCAGTTGGCGCGGGGCGGCCGACTGGGGAAGAACGGAGGTCTGTTGTGCCTCGAGGAGGTAGAGGGCTACGGGGTTCAGCCCCGAAGCGAGCTGAGCTCTCTTACGATAAGAGTGTGCGCAAGCCGGGCTTGCTGGTCCTTCAAGCGAACGTGAAGGGCTTTGCAAAGCCATGGAGAGTCTTGATTGACTCGGGAGCCCCTACGCCCTTCGCTCCACCCTGGAAGGGAGTCAGCTGTATGCTGAAGCACTGGAAGTGACAACGGGAGATACGATCTCTGTCCGTCTCGCGACGGGGACACTGGTAACTATGTCGAAGGTCTCAGTCGACCTTGGAGTGAAGTTTGAGAGCTTCGATAGCGTGGAACGCTGTTTGGTCTTAGACCTGGACGCGAAGTATGACCTCATCCTTGGCATGGCATGGCTGGAACGCCATGTTGACTGGAAGTCGAAAACACTGGGTGCGTCGCACCCTGATCCTAGTGGAGCTTTGGTGAGTCATAAACCCAACTCTGCTAGGAAGGAGAAGCGCTTTTGGCGCGAGCACGAGGCCGAGGAAGCCGTAGCGCTGGACATTGGTATGCCCGAAATTGTTAGCAGCGAGGCAGCTGTTTGCCCTGAGGGCATACGTGGTGCAGCACGTTATCCGCTGAGCGGTGCAGGTCAGGTCAATGACCAACCGCAGGGTTCTGGTGAGGACGAACGCGGCGTGGCGCGTAATCCACTGAGTGGTACGGATCTGGTCGATGGCCTACCGCTGCGTGGCCCGAGGGCCGCGGTCGACTGCGAGTCGAGGCCTCATGGGCGCGGCCCAGGAGATGCAGGTGGAGTGACACCTAGTTCACTGGGTGAGGATCAAGGACCTCTTGGCTCTCAGCCGAGTGTCTTGCGAGATACTATCCCCTCTTCGAGGAGTAATGGTGCTGCTGCACCCGGTGGTGGTGATGTAGATGTCGCCACACCGCCCTCATCCGGTCGGAATCCGTCGCGGAGGGAGAGGAGAAGAAGACGTAGGGCGCCTGTGTATCTTCGACGTCGGATAGGGAGCCAATGATGAGTGGTGATATTCACATAAAAAACTGAAGAGATTGCACATCGGAAAGGGGCGCCGGGGCGCTCGACCGAGTCACCCCTACACCCTGCCCCTCGATCACCTGGGAGCGGACGACAAAGCTGGTAAGCGGGGAAAGGGGGGGGTGGGCCTGCAGCACACGAACAGAGAACGTTATATTTTA